CTGTACCACGACATACTCATCCAAACCACGAACTCAACTCACACTATCCTCATTACCTAAACACACTCTGAGTTCGTGTTACCAAGGCACGCTAATACCACACCAACCACTCAATGCAAATCACAGTGCATAGTTACTTTTGTGGTAGGCTTCAACAGTGGCCTTCACGATGGCGTTCGAGTAGGGCACCAACACCTGAATCAGCACCCACTCCTTCGTGCCGGCACCCTTCATCGCGTTGTACAGCGACGTGGCCAGCATCGTCGGCAAGTCCATGATGCTCGCCAAGACAACATCCTCGAATTTGCCACTCAGCTCGCTCTTCAAATCCTTCTTCAGGTCCTTAAACACAACACAAACACGCCAATATTCATTCGTGTTAGTTTTAAGGCACAACGTCGGCGTAGCACTCTTCACGATGTGTACCATCACGCTCCGTCGCAATGACTCCATTTTGCCACACAGCCACGTCCTACAAGCCAACCATTTCCTCCATTCGACCTCGACAATTAACTGTAAGAATTCCAGACAGAAAACAAACTGCGTTTGCAGCGATCAATCAATCTGATTGGTTGCAGCTGTTCATGTGATTCCTTGGCTGGCAAATTCCAAATAACCGAATAAATTTCATGCACCCTGTAGTACCTACACGTCCAACGACGCCTACTGTAGATGCAAGCAAGCCCACGTAGTACGACAGTTTCGATTCAGGAATGCAACTTCAAGATTAAAGTTCAACCCTGTAATAGTTAGCGTCACAGTGATTTCCAACAAATAGAATAGACGCCTAATCATGCCAAGTGCCACCCGTTCAAGCTCAAACGTGTCGACAACCAACTTACCTTTCCAAAAGAGGCTCGATACTTGTTGACAATTTCATTTCGCTGAGCTGATGTTCGCTTTGACAACACAGCGATGATGCGATCCTCGTCCGTACCTACAAAGTACCAAAAACGCATCAAGCTTTTGGAAGGTCATAACATCAAGCAATGCCTGTCCAACATCTAGAGCTACTGTCACAGCAGTCTCGCCTATCTCGTCGACAACTTTCACGCCATGACTCACCGAGTCCGCGCATCGCCTTGCGCAGCTCGTCGGCATCTTGGCCTGGATCGAAGTTCGGTGCGGGCACGACCGTTGGGTGTCCGCAGTAGTAGGCCGAGTTTGGTCCGTAGCTTGCACCCATTTGTGAAGGCGCCGAGCCCATCAGATTCACGGATTGGCCACCTAAATAAGGAACACTTAAAGCCAAGGCATCTTTTTGCGCTGGCAGGGATGACGTGGGCTGAATTCTAATGCATAAATCTTGCCGACTAGACGCAAAACATCTCCGGCATAACAATCACCTCCTGTGTCGGCCATTTCTAAACTGCACCAGCGTGACCTCCACTGGATTATCTTGTCAGCATGATCTCTCTCCGATTTTCTCAGGTAACTGGTCTGATTTGCACGAATTTTAGGTCACTGAAATCGTTTGCAAATTCGCGAACCGTTAATTTCTATACGGGAATGGCCTTATTTCCTTGATACGAGGTTTTCCTGGTACTACCGGCAAAAGTACCTCATCCGACTCTCCGATCTTGAGACTCAATGGCTAGGAATCTAATCGGTCAGAATCAGACGAAATCGATTAAGAACTCACCACTGTAGTATCCAATGGGATTAGGAAATTGTCTACCCTGGGGATTGAAGCCTGCTGGTGGAGGGTTACCGGACATTGTTACTTTGGCTGAAATGAACAAAGGAAACCGCTTTTATGTTTAACTGCCTCAATTGCCGTCAAACTCACATCAAATTTACTTAAATAAGACCAAAGTAAGGTCGTCACCACTCAGGAACACAATACGCCAGCGAAAGGCCAATTTCGTTTAAATAAATGCAGGAAACAGCAGGAAACATTTCGAATAGCAAGATTATGGGAGTCGGTAACTAGTTATAGCGTAGATTGATAATTGCATGAAATAATAAATGCGGAAAATGATCAACCTGAGAACGTACGTAGTTCTACTAGGTGGCCTTGCGAAGACTAACCGTTTACAACCGGAGCGGTTACCAACATGGGTGTGTATGGGTGGTTTTATTGGTACAATAACAGCCAATTACATGACGACCTTTAGATCAGACCAATGAGCTGTTGCGTAGCAGTGTAGCAAAATGGCCTAGTGCAGCATAGCAGGTGAGCTCTGAGCAAGCATTTAACATGGCCTGGAACAATCAGGGCATAGAAAATCGGCTTTAACATTAGTTTGCGCGATTTAAAACGGATTAAACCGTAGCTGGTAAATTTTCACGAGACTCAGGGGTTAAAGTCAAATAATAGTGCAGGAAAATATAATTGCATGACTGTGATGAGTTCCACTGAAACTCCCTTGATTACATCCACCAATGATTTTCAGCATTTGACAAACTGGTTCATCTTCGGAAAATATTTGACCACAATTAAGTCCAATGAAATCAAGTCGATAAAATCCGCCCACGCAACACCTAGCTTGGTCAAAGCTAAACAAATTGTCCAATACCACGCTCACCAGAGTCATTTATAATCACAATGTGTGTCGCCAGACCAGTGATGTCTACGCCCACCAACAGACATCACTCATTTCTGACAGTCTGTGATTAGTTAAGCCCTGATAATGTGCAGAGCACTCATGAGGTAGGCGTGGGTTAAGGAGGGGGTCACAGGACTGGGCTTTATGGGGGCTTGACCCGCTTGCATGCATGTGCATGAACCTTTGCGTGAACTCTAAAAGTACTCGGCTGTACATGCGCGTTTTTCAGTACAAAGCAACAATCGCGGAGAGATTAGTGCCAGCTTAATGCAATTATAGGTTTCAACCTGGTCCACATTCATGCTAGCCTGATTTTGACATGCCTTCGAGACTGAGCTGAATCAACGCTATCTAAAAAACCTTCCCTGTTTTCAAATGTTGGCAGACATGGAATTGATGACACGTGGAACACTGACATCTTGAATGCACAAATGGAAGACCTATGACAACCCAAAGAATGATTTGGAAGGCTGTCAACATCGAAGTGATCTCAAATACATTTCCATCTGCACAATAAAAGTTGTGTATAACTGTTTTGGGTGAGTGCACACGAAGGCTGCACACAAACATCCACGAACTAATTACGTACCAATTTCAGGTGCGCCTACTTAGCATAAGACAGTTGTGTTGGTCCGAGAGTCCGTGCCAACTACAGCGCAATTCCACCTTTCCCACTCACTTCCATCATCTGAGAACTGATGTGTTTGTGGTTTGGCAGATCGAGCTAATTCGTAAATCATAGATTGATGTAGGCTTCCATGGGGTAATCCACAGTTTCGCACATCAATCAACCGTCGCTGGTTCTCCGTATCACGGAAGTGATCAACTGAGTGTGGAGAGGGCAGAGTTCTGCGAACCTGATGGAAAATCACTCTGGAATTCATCTACCTGTACACGTGGCGTCCACCACAAACATTCAGGTTGCTATACACAGCCCAACCCTCGTCTACTGAGTTGATTTCCTCCATGATTAACTTGTGGACGCGGTTCAATCCTCCCTTAAGGCTTCCAATGTCTACGAACCATCATCTCAAGCAGGTCGAAATCGTCTAGGATGCGGTCAGTCGACCTTCAAGTGTTTGCCACTAACGGCATGCACGCATCACCCACACAAAGCACCACCAAGCACTTTTACAAAACTGATTTTGCTAAGTCTGGTTTATTACCGAGGGTTTTCTGCAATTGCCAGGTCGTGGTTTCTGAGTTCATCGGTGGTAGATTCCACACGATTGAGAGCGACTTGCAGCCCACACTATCACCACGACTTAGGAGACAATCCCCATAGCGCACAACAGAAAACCGCGATGAGTCAGTCGTAGCACCTCTAGCAACGAGATCAGCTGGTTCGTCACATCTATTTGGGCAGGCTGCGATAGAGAAATCCTTGGGTGGCATGAACCAGACATTGGATGGCGCGATTTCTCGTAATTTTCCATTGCAGTACTTGTTTTCGGCATTTTACACAATTGCGAAAATGAATAAGAGGCAGAAGTGGGACCTCGTAGCAATTTTGAAGAGTTCTGAGCCACTAGCTGATTGGTGAATGTACTTTTAGCGCACACTGAATAAACTTGGATAAATAATCATGCTATGCGATGAGCTAAAATGGTGTGGGCGTGCCAGTGATAATGGTGCTACACTTTGTGTGCGATGCCGACAGGGAAGGAGTAAATAGAAGTGGCTTTAATGCAGTTAAATGAGTTCTTTTACACGAAGTACGCGAAGTGTGCATCCTCGTAGATTATTGGGTGGTAAAATTATCGTTACTTTATGATTACCATACCTGACTGTAAGGCGTAGTGGTTGCAGAGGCATTTCGCAGTTCTTGAGGTAACCGGGTCTCGTTGAAGTTGCCATCGTGGAATTTTGTTCTTGTAGTTATTCAACTGATCATCACCGTTGTGCCAGAACTGTCAAGCATTTCACTCGACGGACGCTCAGTTTTTTTCGAATAGCGAGGATATCTGGAGTGAAGTTGATGTTCTTTTCGTGATACCGCGGATCGCGAAGTGGTAATGGTCAACTGAAACCTGTCTGACATGCCGAACGTAACCAGAGGTGGAGGAACTAGGGATGTTGAAAGCCAAATCTGGGTGTTCTATGACCGCGCCGTCTCGAGAATGAGCTGCCATTGACCAGAGGGTTAAAAGGTCCACTCTGGTTAGTATGGAATTTGATTTACTGCTCAACTCACACTTGAAAAAAAGCTACAAACCACTGACTTCAAGGACATGTTTAAGCATTCAAACAATGGTAGTGGCCTACAATCAATGTTAGAAACTGAATTTTGCCTGCTAGAATAAGCCAGCTTTAACGTTGTTTCAGTGGTATGTCCAAATCCATAATAATTCTCTTGCAAAGTCGCTGTAACGGGTCTAGGTCGATCGAAGGTTTTTGGGTAGACGTTGACGGCACTTTCCCTCTTCGTGATTGGTAGGTCATTGCGATTCCACTGCAGTCAATTGGAACGAACCAACCCACGTTGTCACTGTCATTCTATGTGGGAAAAATTGTTGTCTACCTTCTCCGTAGCCTCTCATTAACCGAGCCACAACCTCACAATGAGCAGGCAATTGGCGTCTTGTCGACCCACAATTGAGACCTGTAATGTAGCTGCTCATCCACTGAAGTTCATATCTAGTCACTAACCGGGATTCACTGGTTTTAAATTAACATATTTGCCTAGAAAAAGCGTTTTCTTTTTGCACAATGGAATGTCACACACCACAGACCGTGGTGAATGTTTACCCTCTAAGTCGTGTCAACACACCCCCCCGAGTGAAAGCAGCGGTCGCGGTTTGTCAGTCACGTGACGTCTGGTTATCGATTGGCCACGGTCACGGGTCTCGTGACCCGTCGCGCGCACATGTTTGTCGATGCCTCATGCACGTATGTGACCCCTCGTGTCCTAACTTTTTGGACTACTCTAAGTGCTTCACGAGCATTCGTGCGCTTCGATGCCGCAAAAATGGCGACCGCTAACAAGTTTGGTTTATGATGCGAGAATTACTGCCAAAATTTGCAGCTTTCTAGCCGATGTTTTAACTAATTGGCAAGGGAATTATATCTGACGGCATGGTTCGCGCCAATGCGAATTGTTGTTGGCCTATTGCACCATGTTCAAACGACATCTCAATAAACCTCCCAACCAATAAGGTCTTCGATTATAACGAACAACACTTCAGTTTTTCGAATTAATCACCCTCATAATTGGGCCAGATGGATAACAATGCCACAAGTAGAAGGTGACTAACTGTACTCTTATCTGACCCGATGGCTTGCGTGATTTGAGTCGTGGACAGAGCTGATGTCGAGAATGTGTCACTGAAACTGCCTCAACCAATGAACACTTGGGAATCGGAGTCTGTCCATGAAAACGGCAAACATTGGGAGGCTCTCTCAAGTCCACTTGATGATTTCAACTTGCATTAAAAGATGAATGAAAGTTGTCGCTGAATTCATAGACGGTGGAAGCCTTAAGAAATGATACATTCATGTCCACAAATTTGTCAAAACAAAATCAACCCAATTGATGAGGGATGGGCTGTGAGGTGGACATCACATGTACATGTACAATAAGCAGTTTTTCACTCTTATTGTACGGAGTAATGCAGTCGCGACTGATATGAGAAATCGTGGATCGCTTCATGGAAGCCTGCATGAGTGCATGACCCGTGAAACATTTCGATCTGTGGGATTATAGAAAAGGAGGTTAGAGAAAATGAACAGTGGTGGCATGTCTGTGGTGAATGATTAAACCGAGGTCATGAGCACTTGTTGGCACTAAAAAGATCCTTACTCGCCTTCAGTGGTAGATTCGTGGTGTCGCAACACTGATAAAAGGGGAACGTTATTCCAGGCAGCGAAGAGAATCACGTTATATTCGAAACGGGTCACAAGTCGCTTTCTACGAGACAACCGACACTAGAATGCGAGACTAGCGAAGAAGGATGACATCACTTACTCCATTGGCACGTTGGATCGCTGTTGGCTTGGCCTCGCTTCACGTGTGATTATCAGAACCCTTCTTGAACCCAGTAAGTAAGCAGACCATGAGGAAAAACCAGAGGGCGTAGAAATTATCCGAACTCCAGCCACACCGAAATCATCGTGATTGCAGACATAAACCTCGATTACAACCCTCAGACGATGCGTGGCCTCGAGATGACGAGGATTCGATGACTGAGTACATAGGTGTCATGCCAGAATAGGGAAGGTGACGGCTACATGTGACCTCTACCACCTGCGGGTTAGTTCCCAGATGGTGGAGGACGCACTGCATCCTCCAACTGAACCAGCACTCAAATGCAACCCAGCCATTAGATTGGTCATTTGTTGTCGACAATCTTCCGCATGGACTATTTGTTATTGTCGTACTTTTATCCAGGTTGGGTGTTAGAGGGGATGACGAGGCTGATTTGAAGGATATAGTACACAAAAGGGCCACCAGACGATCGTTTCCCAGTGAGATGTGAGTCTCAAGTGTAAACATAATTTCGGTGAAGTTGGCACAGGTATTTTGATCAATTCAAGTGCCTTAAGTTACGTTGGAATAACTGAAATAAGTGCATGAATAATTTGTTTATGGACGTTTTGTGCATACACCCATAACAGTTCCACATAATTTTTGTCGTGTAAATGCTCGTTTATGACCACTGAGATGCTGAGGACTTGGTCCTGATCAAGATGTCAGTGTTCCATGCGTCATCAATTCCATTTCTGCCAACATTTGAAAACGAGGGGGGTTTTTTAGGTGGCGTTGATTCAGCTCAGTCTTGTAGGCATGTCGGAGTCATGTTGGTATGAATTTAGACCACGTTGGAGCCTGTAATTGCATAAAGCTGGCGCGAATCTCACCGCGATTGTTGTTGTAGACTGAAAAATGCACATGCGCAGCTGAGTGCGTTTTGAGTTCATGCAAAGGTTCATGTATACACATGCATGTGGGTCAAACCTCCATAACGCCCCCTCTCATGGCACTTTCACGCCTCATTGATGTTCCAAAATCAATGTTGACTGAGCTCAATCTAAGCTACAATAGGTAGGACGACATAACAGCTAATTGTTTTAACTCTTTGCTAGTGCTCTAAATGTACCATTATGGGCTTTGGTTTTTACCCTGCCTGCTGATTCCGTTCACATAAACCAAATGCACGCGCGGCTCTACGGCCCAAGATGCGCAATTTAAGCGAAAAAAGTCAGTGTTTATCATTGGGTTTTGTGTTTTCGGTGCACATTTTTTTAGGACGTGTCATTTTATGTCGGATCCGCCGCTTACCAGACGATTAGTATTGCCGCTGAATTTTGAACGTGTTTTTTTTAATCAAAAGTTATCCCCGCCGTTCAGACTTTGTCTTGACTTAATTAGCTCACAAAATCTGTTTTGATATGTTAAATCTGACCCGTTTTTCGTCAAACCACCTCGATATCACAGAGAGAGGTCATTAACAAACGCCGTTCGTCGCTTTAAAACTGAAATTGCGCCATCGTCCTTCAGTCTTGCTTTCTATTGGCTGTTGACGAACCTATTAAAACACTAGCTACGCATATAGTCGTGCCTCCTTTGCGCACGCCGGCTAGTCAGACGACAAGACTGTGCGGAAAAGCAACGTATGTTTCTTGGTGCACCGGTTCCAATGCTTTTCGAAATTACTTTAATACGATGTTCCTTTGATGCCTGAAACTTGTTTTAATCATTAATTATACCTTGTTTCATCGCCTTGCATTGTATTTGCTTCTAATACTTCAAATAGTACGCGTGGCTGTGGTAATTTAAACAAAAAGTAGACTTTCACGTGACCGTTGTTCGTCAATATTTGAGGAACGATTGGTTCTGGTCTGAATCAGCCCAGATGTCGAAGGACGTGTTCAAGTTAGCTGAGCTGGTGTTATGCCGTGGTTTTGGCATTTCTTATTTCCTTATTTTGTTGTGCATTTCAGCCAAAGAAAACATGTCAGGTTATCCTCCGCCTGCAGGCTTCAATACAAACTTCGACTCCAATTATCCCCCCCAAGGTGGGCACGGGTATCCCCCACAAGGTCAGATGGGGTATCCCCCACAGGGTGGCCCGATAGGTTACCCTCCTCAGACTGGTGGTCCGATGGGTTACCCTCCTCAAACTGGTGGTCCGATGGGTTACCCTCCACAGGCCGGTGGTCCGATGGGTGCACCAGGTCAGCCCCCCTTCAGTGGCCCGGGCGTTCCCCCGTCTGCTTACCCCCAACCTGGCTATGGCGGACCTCCACCCACAGGACCACCTGGTAAGTCTTTGTCCTTTCGATTTTCAGCAGATTTCATGTGACCCAGACCTACAAGAAATGCTGACCAATCAAATTAAAGATTAACGTCAACCACACTAGGAAAACCCCGTTACTTGAGAATACGCCTAGCCTTGTGTAGTACACAGTAAATTTGTTTTCCCAAACATATTTTAAATTCATCCTCTGGTACATTACGGATTTACGCTCACAAGCGTGGAATTGTCAGCACTTCCCGTGACTTCTGATTCGAGTAACTCTACCTAATTTCTCGATTAAGTCTGCAAAGGATCATGCAGTTCTAACCATCAGATGAAGGTCATTTAAAGGTCATCCAAGACTGAACAAAACAAAGGTGCACTGGTTGTTTTCGGTTGCTGTCGATGTAGGGTTTAATTTTACCCAAGAGTTTAGTGTGCTAATTATGGTTGAAAGCGATGCAGATCCTTTGGATAAAAGATGCGCAACAAAGTTCCTCCAATATTTTAGCTCCGGGGTACGGCAGCTTTGGGTACGGTGCCCCGACAATGGGCGGTGCAATGGGTCCGGGTTATGGAGGTCCACAGCCGCCGCCGCCGCCACCAGCCGGTCCTGGCTACGGTGCTCCTGCCGGATACGGTGGAATGGGAGCAGCCGGACCCGCTTACGGAACTCCTCCGGCTTCGTCTGGATACTACAGTGGACGCCCCACGGTCGTGCCCGCACCCAACTTCGATCCGGGCAAAGATGCCGATGAGCTGCGCAAGGCGATGCGCGGACTCGGTGAGTCATGGCGTGAAAGTTGTCGACGAGATAGGCGAGACTGCTGTGACAG